CCTAATGTAAAGTAAGTCACTAGACTGGGCCCTGCTAGAAGACAGCTTCTTAAATTAGAAATTATGCCAGGTGGTTTTTGCCAGCTGATGGAGTGAAATAATGTGCTTATTTTTTCTCTACCTTAGCATTGTTAATCATATTTTCAAATTTCATTTTCCTATTGTTAAAGATATGAATTTCCATATCTTCACTAAAGTAATTCTTAAAGGGCTATCTATTTGGATCAGTATACTGCATGTTAATGCACACTTTTGTTGAATTACATCCGCAGCATTTCACCGACAACACCAGATTCGATAGAGACAATCCGCCATCACATCCAATACAAGATGATTCTTCATGGTATCTCAATTTTCCAGGTTTGTACTCAATTTAATTTAAAATATTAATTTAAAAATCTACTACTAACAATAGTCCACAAAACTGTAAAGAAACAACACGAAACAAATGAGTTTTTAGTTTACATTTAAGTTAGTTTTAGTTTTCTAATTTCAACAGGTTCTACATTCATAAGGAGTAGATATTTTCTTTTTAGGATTGGCAATGCTTGTGTGCTTAAAGTAACGCACAGCCACTAAAGATTCACCGATAGGGACATGCGATATTGTGCTAACTATTTTTTATTGAAGAAATTAATAGAGATAGAAATAGCCAAAATTTATAGTTTAATGTTTTTAGACATACATATAGCCAATATTTGTCCTTTGCAAATTTTGCCAATTTCGATTGCCCAGGAGTTAGCCATCTTTGTGAAAACTATTGGTATCCTCATTAGTTGTTTATTACAGCACTTTCCAAGATAATGCGTCAAAGCTATTTAACAATCTACCAGAAACAATTAGAAACTGTAATGATTACAGAACCTTTTTAAGACTTTCAAGGAATTTTTTATGTAACAGAGTACAGAGTGATGAGTTATTTTTACTGTAATTTCGATTCTGTTAATCCTACTTCTACTTCTGATTTTAAATTACATAATTTGTAAATAACTTAATTTGATTTATTTTTTAATTGTAATTGATGTACTTTAACAGGGAAGAGCCACCCAGTGGATCTGTTAATAAACCATTATTATTATTATTATTATATTATTATTATTATTATTATTATTATTATTATTATTATTATTATTATTATTGTGATCATATCAAAGCTCGCAAAGGCGTTTTGTTCCTCTCCCCCCTTCCCATGGTTGGAAAAGGCAATCAGTTGACGGCTATTGAAACCCTCAGCATACGTCAAAATCAAATTTTGACCACGTCTGAAGAACTGTTATTATGTTTTTTTTCTAAAATGTCAAGTGTTTTTAGAGGTATATGAAGGGGAAAACAGGGCACACGTCTCAAAACCAAACTAATGTACAGCTGCAAAACGTGTACTTAATCCAACTATCTTTTTCATTAAATTCGCTCATTAAACAGGATTTAAATGTCTTTCAGATATTACTTACATGAATATTAGTGATGCTGCGAAGGTAGGCGATGTAGAGACACTGAAATCAGCATTTGCCAGAGGAATACCTGTTGATCAACGGGATAAGTACTACAAGACACCACTTATGGCCGCCTGTGCGCATGGAAACATTAATGTAGCTCGGTATTTGATACAGATCGGGTAAGTAAACTGGAAAATCAAGATTTTTACTCACTGCTACTGCTTATATTGGCCATTGAGATTTTTGAGAATAGAAACTCTGTTTTTGTCAAGACTGATAAATTTAAAAGCCTGCCGGCAAAGTTTCAGCTCTGACAGACAGTTACGAGAAAAAGATCAAACATTCGACTTCTTCATCTCCTCTTCTTAAAGCTTGCTTGGGATTAATTTTCGAAGAATTTGTCAATGAAAGTGATGCTAAGTGAATTTTCCTGGGTTCCGTAAAGCACTTTTTCTTATACAATTGCCAGAAGTGTCATGGCAGCAATTAGGTTTAAAATTCTAAAGAACAAGGGTAGCCTCATTTTTTGTCTAAATATTATTGTGATATGAAACGATTTCCATTGTTGATTATTAAGAGAAGCATTATTTTATGTTCTGTTGTACAAGATAAGTAAACGACTTTCTAGCACCAGTCTACGACTTCTGATTTCTTTCTTTACTTTGGTTTTCGTTTTCCAGTGCTGATATCAATGCTCGAGATAACTTCAAGTGGACGGCACTGCATCATGCTTGCCACTCAGGGCAGATTGATCTTGTCCAGTTACTTCTTGAACATGGAGCAGAGATGGATGCGCAAACAATTAACGGTGGAACACCTCTGATGAGAGCTATAGAGAGCTCAAGAGAATCTGTTGTCGNATATTACTTACATGAATATTAGTGATGCTGCGAAGGTAGGCGATGTAGAGACACTGAAATCAGCATTTGCCAGAGGAATACCTGTTGATCAACGGGATAAGTACTACAAGACACCACTTATGGCTGCCTGTGCGCATGGAAACATTAATGTAGCTCGGTATTTGATACAGATCGGGTAAGTAAACTGGAAAATCAAGATTTTTACTCACTGCTACTGCTTATATTGGCCATTGAGATTTTTGAGAATAGAAACTCTGTTTTTGTCAAGACTGATAAATTTAAAAGCCTGCCGGCAAAGTTTCAGCTCTGACAGACAGTTACGAGAAAAAGATCAAACATTCGACTTCTTCATCTCCTCTTCTTAAAGCTTGCTTGGGATTAATTTTCGAAGAATTTGTCAATGAAAGTGATGCTAAGTGAATTTTCCTGGGTTCCGTAAAGCACTTTTTCTTATACAATTGCCAGAAGTGTCATGGCAGCAATTAGGTTTAAAATTCTAAAGAACAAGGGTAGCCTCATTTTTTGTCTAAATATTATTGTGATATGAAACGATTTCCATTGTTGATTATTAAGAGAAGCATTATTTTATGTTCTGTTGTACAAGATAAGTAAACGACTTTCTAGCACCAGTCTACGACTTCTGATTTCTTTCTTTACTTTGGTTTTCGTTTTCCAGTGCTGATATCAATGCTCGAGATAACTTCAAGTGGACGGCACTGCATCATGCTTGCCACTCAGGGCAGATTGATCTTGTCCAGTTACTTCTTGAACATGGAGCAGAGATGGATGCGCAAACAATTAACGGTGGAACACCTCTGATGAGAGCTATAGAGAGCTCAAGAGAATCTGTTGTCGAATTCCTCATTTCTAAGGGGTATGTTTGAAACTTTTGCTTAAAAATTAAAACCCAGATGGTCATGTTATTCTGGGATTAACCATTTCAGAACCAAAAGGGCTTTTGATTGATTTATCTTGGATGGAATGCAGTTGTGACAGGCATCCCAGACTTCACTGATGATTAGGTGAGCAGCAGCTCACGTATAGCCTGAGATCGTGCCCTCTCTCTATCAAGGGCCAATCGATCGCTTTCAAGTGCCACTCTTCCAACATCTGTAAGTGACATAATTATCGAAAACATCCTGTATATCTCTTTCCCACTGCCTTCTTGGTCTTTCTGTTTTCCCATCTCTCTTTCCCTCTAAGATAATCGTTCTCAAGCCCTAACTTCTTTTCAAACGGCCAAAATGCTTCAGCTTTTGTTTCTTTATTAAGACTTCTAACCATTGATCTTCCACTTTGAGTTCCTCCCTTGATGACTGTATCATTACTTTTATGTTTCTCTGGCAGGTTCTTTCTTTCCTGCTCTTCTCAAAAAGAGTTGTCTTACTGATACAAAACTGCGATGCAAATATCTGATATCTGGCGTGTGGATTGTACTATCCCGATTGCCAGATTGGCACAGAAAACTGGCCAACTAACCAACCACAAATATTTTATCTCACTAGAACCAACCTAAGTTTATTTAATTTTTCCTTCACTGTTTCCTTTTGTTTTCCTTTTTTCAGTGCTAAAGTTCAGCTAGAAAACAAGAAAGGTCATACTGCATTAGATGTGGCGAAAGCTTACGCCGATCCTCGAGTGGTAGCCATTGTACAGAAAAGATGGGATGAGATACCTCCTCCAGTGGATAAAAAGAAACGTAAGTAAAACGAATATAAAGAGCTTTATATTGCAATAATTAAAGTGGTTTTCCCGTCAGTATCGTCATTTCAAAACCAGAACAATTACTCTGGCGAATAGACTTTGGAGGACATGATCTCGTGCTTCGATACCACTTAGCAATGACTCACTGGATGGCAAGCCATCCAAGCGTTCATTCATTCTAGTGCGATCGGGCGAAGCATTTGTAGTCTGATTTTTCTGTTAAAAATTAAACGAAATGACTGGACAAAATCGCACTCAAAGCTTTGTCATCTAAATGAACCCTTGGATGGCTTGCCATCCAGCGAATCGTTGCTTAGTGGTAACCAAGCACGTGACTAAGTGCTGCAAAGGGCCAATCGGAGCAGATAATTACAACCATTTAGGACTCAAAGTAAAGGCAAATTAAGCCAATCACAAACCAAAGCATTTGTGTAGTTACTCAGGACACCTAGTTTGAACTGGTTTGAAATGCCACCAGCCGCCCCCTTTCTCTATGATTTTTTGGATCTTAATTTTAAATAATGTAAACAGTCCTTAGTGAATGTGAATCGTATGCTTAGCATCCTGTCAGTACACTTAAGAAGCGCTATCACTTGATCTATTACATGAAAAAATTATTTCGGGGAATGTTGGCATATGCATCTTCATTGTCCGCTTTAATTTGCACTGGCTTTTTCTTTCCTCTATATTCCTGTTATTTTCTTCGGGTAATGTTGCTGTTCTGTACCCAAGGTTCTTTTTTTATCTCTACTGTACATTTTCATTAACACTTTCTTCATTTTTCTGTCTCTTAAGGCTTCTCTCTCGCCTTCTTATCAACTTCAAACCTTTACAAACTCAGGAGAACTCTTTCGACCAGTGGCTCAACTGAGGAATCTTTCTATGCGTCAAGCCCTGACACTTTGTCTTCTGACAACTTGTACCTTTTCTATTGGGGACTGTCCTCGGGTCCCCAGAAAGCCTTTTGGTTTGAGTATCTTTACGACAGTTAAAGGAACACGAGGGACGTAAATTTCTGTGGAGTCAGTGAGTGTTTTTGCTACAAGGTTGAAGCAGTACAGGTCGGGTTAATTATCGTCTTGATGATATTTTCTCGGGCTAAGCTTTCTTTTTAGTCGTCTTTGTATATATATTTTTTTGTTAGTTCCTCTACTTGATTCAGATATCTTCTGCATGTACTGTAAAATATTCACTCAACAAAAAACAATCGGCAGCCGGCTAAAAAATCCCCACAACTGGCGATCATGAGAGAAGTGCAGCTCCTAACCAGCGAGCCATACGCAACGTACTCATATAGGCAACCGGTAGGTCGTTGTTTACTTGTGTGTAGTTATGACAGCTAATGTTGCTTTTGTGCTGCTATCATCCGCTTTGCTTTGTCGTCAAGTATTTGCCTTGTTGCACCTTTTTGCACGCGTAGCCTTTCTTCATAGCCACCGAGGTTTGGTGTCACAGAGAAACAAAACCAACGTTACTGCGTGTATCACTGGGCCAAACAACAAACCTCTATGCAGTCAAGTTAGTTCGGCAGACGACAAGTCAAGGTGAATGAAGCACACAGACCCTACCCAGACCTGAGGCGTCCCAGTGATGTTTGCGCATCTTTCCTCACCAGGGAAATTTGCACCCCGGCCAAAGTCCAAGGCGCAGTCCAGTGACGCGGAAGGGCTTGGAAACGAAGGCGATGATGACCAAGAAGGGCCTGGTGACGACGATGACGATGACGGTGACGATGGCGGGGACTGAGAACGAGCGAGAATTTCTCTAGTAGCTACATCAATGTTTTGTTGAAAAAAATTTATTTCCAATAAATTGTATTTTAAAAAGAAACAGTAGTTTATTCTTGTAAGGGGGAGAAGCAACTTTCCATGCATTCTCTTAAATGAAATCCAAACGAAATTATCACAGCTTGCAACCTTGTCAGCTGATTTGTGTACTGATCATGCTCATTACGCCAAAAACCAAAGGTCAACGGCCTTAGGTCGAAACAAAAACATGGCGGTCGAAGACCGGACTGCAATTATCCGTGAGAACCTCGTTTCTGGGTCCCAGACCTCTTTCCCCCCCCACCACCACCACCCCTGGTTCTTGTATTCAGTCTTTTGAAGTGACTGATAAGGTGAAGGATGAGCGCTCACAGTTGGGCCATTAGTCAATCAATTTAATTTTAGTATCAGTTGAAGATTCCCTTTCTGTTGTAGAGTCCTCTATAGAAAGGGGATTCTGTGACAGCTTTTTTAAAAAAACTTTTTTAACGCTGATGGTAAAGCTATGTGCACTCGAATCCGGATATTTTTGAAACCGCATATTTTTTATTTGGATTCTTGGGGACGTCGACCTTGAACCGCTATTCACCACTAGCACATCTCCCAAAATGCACCTTATTTGCCCCCCAAAATTTTGCATAAGCATTGTTTTCAATTTCCCTTGGGACGGCTGTAATACCCAAGGAGAAATGGAAAACAAGGGTAACGCAAAATTTTGGAGGGCAAACAAGCTGCGTTATGGGAGATGTGCAATGGCGAATGGAGAGAGGTTTCAAAACAATGCTGTTTTGGGGAGCGGAATCATTGGTTTCGTGAGTTCAGAGGCCCGATTTGTGTAAAAAAGTGTGCGGTTTCGAAAATAGCCGAATTCGCGTTGATGTAGCCTAAATTTATTGATAGCATTTTGTGTACATGTGTTTGGATGTGAGACGTCAGTTCTTTTCTTTATCACTGACCTTTATTGTTTTGTTTGCAATTTAGCATTGGAATTAGGTTTTAGCATTCCATCCATTGTTGTCATCTGTAACCGACCTCTGTAAACTAGAATAGGATTGTTGATCGAATGTTCCCTAAGAAGTATTCTCAATTTTCGATGTCCTTAGACACAGGGATATTTAATAAAATAATAAAAGTGAATTCATTGTATTTCTTCGCCTACTCTTGTGTTGTGCTATGCCTAGATTTATTTTTTGGTATTCCTTTAAAAACCTTTAAAAAAAAAACATTGGAGTCATAATGGTTCCGTTCTATTTAAACTTTCTCGACCACTATAACTCAAGTAAGAGTGTTTGCCTTTTGCTGTCGATGGTCAGGATGAAAACGGATTGTAACCTGAAAACCTTACACCAACTTTTTAAAGGTGAACTCCTGTGTTGTCGAAAAATGACCAAAAAGGATCATACTTTGTTTTCCCTTTTACAGAGTCATCATTCATTTTGCACAGATAATACTTGGTTATAATTTGTTTACATCTTGGACAAAAAATTACTGAATTCACTGTGGCAAAGCCCCTTTAAGGCTTGGAGTATGCGGTGCGACATACCAAGCCACTAACCTTCAAAATGAAAAATTTGAAGGTTAGTGGTTAGAATCTTTCACACAGGAATAAGGCCTACTTTTCCTGAAGAATCAAACGCTACGCAATAAAGTGACTGTTAACTGGTAATAACTAAAGTTTAGGGATTCCGGGCGAGATCTATGCAAGAGCTCCAACTCCAATGCTGTGCTTTGCATACGTGTCACGTGCGCGAGAAAAGGTCCAAACGGGCGTGATCAGATTGCGTTATATGCATTCCGTTCATTCTTAGTGGAAGTCTAAACTAATGCTTGCTACAAACATGCTGCGCATGTGTAATAACAACCTGGAGATTAGGTTTGCGGGCTCCTCTGGTCGCCTGCAACATGCCATTTCCGAGTTGGCCCAAGCCTTTCAAAGCGAGTCTGAGTGCGAAACCATTGATATGAAAACGATTTTTTATTTCCATGAAAATAAGATGCATTTTCACAAGAACGGTTTTTTGCACGTAGCCTCATTTTGAAAGTGAGAGCGTTTGGAACTCGTAAATGGCCCATTAGAATATGCTTTGTTTTCAGGTGTAATTTGTCACTGCTGGCACGTTTCTGCCGTTTCCTAAAATTCTTGCTTGTGCTAATTGTACATTGTAAATGTAGGGGAATGTGTTGTGACACATATGCAGTGGAAAGTAGTAACGTTCAGCACATTGCACTTTTTTACTTGTATGCTGTAGGTGGTGGAAGCCCGCGAAAGAAAGCACCAAAGTCAGCGGGTTCTTCTAAGACACACATGCCTAGTGTAAAGACACCAGCAGATAAAAAACAGGAAGAGGTTAGTTGTAGTAATCGCCTGAGAAAAACAGATCGTCTTTAGTTGAGAATTGACTGGATTTTTAGGTATTTTTGGTTATATTCTGCATCAGACCCCCTTTTCCCCCTTACGTTTTGTTACATGTCCCTGTCCAATAATCATTTCGGGTGCTTGATTTGGCTTCGTTAAGTATTTGGCGTGTCATGTCCACTTAGGTTTCGCCGTGGTAGGTACCTTATGTTCTTTAATTATATAAGCACCAATGAAATACCAGGTGAGCTTTCGCGCGAAAATTTGCTATCTTCACATATGAAAATATCACCGTTGCTATGGCTTCATAATAAATCGCTCCTTTCACAGCAAAAAAACTATTAAAGTGAAATGGTTTGGTATTTCATTGGCGTTTATATAATAAATAGAACATTGCGTGGCCGCTTGAAGATACGAAATTTTTCTTCTCGTGTTGAAAAAATATTTCACTCGTCGCTGCGCTCACTCGTGAAATATTTTTCAACACTCGAAGAGAAATTTCGTATCTCCGCGCGGCCATGTAATATCCTCTATTTATTTCGCAAGAAAAACTTGAAATGTCTCGTCTTTTTTTAGCCTCCATCCTCAGCACCACTTCCTGGTGTGACAGCTGTACGGAAGTCTTCTGTTTTGCGTGCAGCATCCGCTTTGGGAATTATCAATGAAAAACCACAGCCCATAATATACACTCCGCGGAGAGCCTGGGTATCACAACCAACCACTGTAAGTAAGACTAACATTAGGCACCTGGTTTGCAAAGAAGCTTGTCAATTCAAGCGCTGCAAAGTTAATAATAAGTTGATTTCAACTCCCCCAAGGTGGTCAGAGCAGATAGTAAACAAATGTATTGAACTTGTTTGCACAAGACGTGTTACATTTGATAAGTAATTGTTATCATTTTGTTCCGGACTTTACTAACTGCCCATAATTTGTATCTGTTTTTTTTCTTTTCGTTCAGCTTATTTTATCGTAAAATGATTCTTCGTTTTCTTCAAGTGTCAGATCTAGCAGCCATCTGCTCGTTTCTGAGCTCATGCACGAGCAAAGTTACTCAAATGTTCCAACAATATAAGGCCAGGCCTCTGATAGCACTGTTAATAACCTCAGAAGACAGCCGACATTTTGCGACGTCACCCCTAGTTTCCCTGTGAAATGACGTTTTAGAAACGAGGGTATAAATTCCATCCTGAGGACGCCTCACTACGCAGATGTGGGCAGTTCTGCGCTCGTTTCTCAGACGTCATTTCGCGGGAAAACCAGTTGTGGCATCTCGAAATGTCGGCTGTGTTTTTCATGTTTAACCAATCAAATCATTCTCAATCAACAAACTGGTGTATTCCATTTCTTCTCGTTTTGTCAACAGGACGATCTATTGCGTGGAAGAGAAATTCGTAGACTTAGATATGGAACTGATATCGACTTCGCAGATTACAAACCACCATTTCAAAAGCATATTACTTTAAAAGCGCAAGCTTTGGAAGCGGAAGACAATTAAAGAATAACGGTAACAGAGGAACATGGAGAAAGAAAGAATGTCATCAAGTCTCCGCTTGCCTGGGATAAAGCTCCGTGGTGGAACAAAGGCAAGTCATGGTGTAAACAGCTTAAAGGAATACAGAATCGGCGAGCGAAGCAAGAAAGACGGGGGGGACTAGAGAGTCCTTAAACACCCGCATGATTCGCCCCTTTTTTGCATTACAGTGACAGGACTGAAAGCCACCGTTTCCCTTGCCTGGAATCAGGCTGCGTAGTAGAAAAAAGGCAAGCAGTGGCGTAAACAGCATAAAGCCATACAGAATCGGCGAGCAAAGCAAGCCGAGCAGGGGACTAGGAAGTCCTCAAACCCCTGCATGGTTCGCTCGGTTATTCCGGCTTGGTTGTTATTCGTCCTTTTTCCCTCCTAAGGAACCTGGTCCCAGTCTACCTTTCCGTTAAGGGGTTTTGTCTTCAATACGAATGGAAGCTGCTTGTAACACACAGAACCTAGTTAAGTTAATTTTCGTGAATGAAATACAATTGTTGCAGGCCAACAATTATCCCTTCAAAGTTACATTTTTATAATCGTAGGGTTTTAAGTACAATTTGTTTTTTTGTATGGCTGTTGGATTTTATAGATTTTCTTGGTTCGTTCTCTCTTTTAAATGCTTTTATCTTTTAGTCCATAGAAAATTAGAATATTAAGTATACTTAGAGTTTTGTAAATATTTCCGTGATTGATTAAATTTTCCGGTTTTAAGAAACTGTAGATGTTGATTTACCTTGCTTCCGGGCGTTGCTTACTTGTACACTTTAAAGCGATAAAGATGCAATTTAAAGAAAGATAGATATTAAAATAATTATTCAATGCCAGTGTACAAAGTTATTTCAAAATTTCGCAGAAAGTCATATCCGTTTTTTATTAGGGAGCTCAAGCGCGCAATCACTACCCACGACAGCGACGGCAACAAGAACGTCAAAAAAGCAATAGATTTAGTGGTCTAATCAACCGGCGTTTTCCACTTACCGAAAGTTTGTGGACATTTTGGAGGAAATGTCCGTCGCGTGAAGAACGCCTGGTTGCATTCGTTCCCTTTTCCGTCCACAAAATCAAAATGGCGGCCCAGATATGGCTTGTGTCAACTTGTGAAGACCCGTAAATGGAACGCCGGATAAACGTGTGTTCCATTTATATTTCCAACCGAAATTTCCGAAATCTCTATAAAATGGAAAGCGCCTGACAACTTTACTCGTGCATCACAGTTGAACATTTTTTGACGTCACTTTACGACGAAGACATGAAATTTGTTTTTGCGACTTTTCAGGGTGGAGATGGACCTCTCAAATTTATCGCCTTTGAAAAATCGAAAAAAAAGAAAGAACGTTACGTTACTTTTTGGTGAGGTTTTCGTTGATGTCGCCGTCGTTGTTGCTGAAGTTTCCTATTATTTTCAACCAGGAGCTCCTGTTTCAACTCAAATGACGTCGCCTTCGCAAGCTAGTCCCGGGTTATAATATTAACTTTCCGTCAATTTTTCTTTATTTTTTATCATAACGAAATGGCGACTAGGTTGACCGTAATATTTTGAAGATACTGTTTTACTAGGAGTCTGTATCTTTGCAAGATGTTTTTTACTATATTTTTTACTCCTAAGAATATTTGATTTTTAAATAAATGTTTAATTTTAAACTTGTCTCCTTTTATTTCCAACCCTATTCACTACATGGATCGTCAATTGGTTGAGTAAGTTATTGCCAACGAGGCAACCGACCTAAGAAGCGAGTTTGACTCGGCGGCAGAATTATAACGCAGCGCAATTTAGGCAAAAACTCTCAAATTCTGCGTTACCCTCTAAAATTTGCATTTTTGACCATATTTGGGTGTAAGTAAGACCCCATATTTGGGTAGTGACGTCATGGTCTTGTATTTACAACTCGTGGTCCGAATTTGGGTGATTCAGTGTCCTCTAGAACAGACAACGAACAGCTGCACACCTAACAGGTGAGCAAGCTGATTTCTACTTTGAAAGAGCAATTAGTGCTCTACTTTGCTTTATAAATTGCGTTTAAAGCAGCAGCTGATCAAGGAATAGGTTTTTACCCTCAAATTTTTGTCAGAACCAGCTTGTTCTTTGCAGCTCGATTTACATTGAGGTAGCGTGTTCGATTTTCGACTCAGAACCAGGGTTTTCAGTGTTCCCTTTTCCTTCGTGAATTGAATTTTAAGCGGTAGTTGATCAAGGTATAGGGTTAGATTCTCAAAACTTTTATCAGAACCAGCGTGTTCTACGCAGGTCCATTTACATTGAGCCATTCCTCCCGTGAGGAATGCAACGTATTTGCGGACTTTTTTTTTTAGAATTTATTTACGTCTTTCGAGAGATTTTATCAACCAGTATGTTTTTTTACTGCTCGATATACATTGAGACAGCCCAAAACTCCGGTGAGCAATGCAACGAACTTGCGGACCTTTTGTTTTGAAGACTATCATTATGCCTTTCAAGAGACTCTTTGTCCTGTGACACTCGCTCATCAGATCTTTTCAAATCTATATTTTTATTCCTCTGATACATCCCGTCCCATTCTTGCGCTTTTCACACATTTTACTTTACACCAATTTTTTCTTATGTATATTACCACACGAAATATTTTGTTACCCCTGATGACGCTGTTGCTCGGAATTTAATTTCAGCGGTCAAAGGCCTTATTTGAACTATATTTTTCTTTCTAACGTTTATAGTTTTGATACAATGAAATTTTCCATGAAACATAAGTACTAACTTGCTCATATTTACCAACAAAGCTTTAAGCCAAGTTGTTATCGTTTAATAAGAGTGAAAGCCTAGAATGTGCCAAAGTTGTAGTTTTGAAGGTGGGTGCCATCCTTTTCTATATAGCGGAATCCACTTTAAACCTCTAAAATTATGAAAGAAATATCGCGAAGATCTGAATACATGTGAATAGGCACATTCCACAAAAGATTAACGAATTCCCGTCGTTGGCACTTGCCGGAAGGTTCCCCTAGTTGTATATTATACACCTTATTACGGTAAAGTTGTCATAGAAAAATGAAAACAAGAGAATAAAAAAAACCTGAACAGGAATAAATTCGGCGCACTCATTCCATCCAGGGAGCTGGTCTTACAAAAGGATGAGAGTCAATACGTCTTTACAGCGGCCAATTGAACTTTCCTAAAATGACTGCAAAAATGCAATATTTTCATGGCCAAACAATTCCTATATGGCTAATGTATTTCTTTTCTTTTTGCTTTTTTTCTATGATTACGTAATTGTAAATGGGGCTTGTAGGTCTTTTTTGACAAGGTATTCAAGGGCTCAAATAAAGCTCGAGCCACACCCACATGGGTCTTCTTTAGAGGCTTTTTTTAAAATTGGTCCAATAAAGCCCCCATTAACCTGCGAATACAGTCGTCCCTCTTTTCTCCTCACCGGAAGGAACGTCTCTTCCGGCGTGGCGCGAGGATAAAAAGCTGCGGGTATTTGCAGGCAAAGCCCCCTTTTGCCCAATAAGATTTACATTTGTTGCTTTTTTTATTGCCTAATTAAAACAGAACTTTCATAACTTTTTTTCATAAACCGACTGCTGCTGCCGCTGCTGCCGGACTTCCGCTGGTTTCACTATACCTCTTACGCGGTTCTATTTTTCATACAAGCAGCATCGCCCCTCAGCCCTTAACCCTGGGTGCGAGAGACGTTTATGCGCCGTTTCCAATCTCGTTCACAGAGTACGCGTTACGCTTGTCCAGTGAAACGGTTATAGGGTCGGTTCCGCTGGACGAAGGTGATGACACTCTTTGTTCGAGATCGGCGCGGTCTTCGGTTTCTAGATATGGCACCCTTTACTCCCGCTCCCATCCTCTATCCTAATCGCCACTAGCTGGCGTAATTTCTTTGCGGAACGTCCGTGTTTGCGTACGGCCTTCGCTCTGGGAATTATGATTGAGAATCATTAGGAAATCAGTCTATCATATACACTCCGCTGAGGGCCTGGGTATCACAACCAACTACGGTAGATAAGACTCTTGCACAAAATATGTGACTATTTGAAGAATTAGTAATATTATAATTTTTATGCGAAGACTTCATAAATTTCTCTTGATTTGTACCTAGTTTCTCAGTCGTTCAACTCATTTCACCGAAATCTGATTGCGTGTTTGTTGCATATAGTTTACAGTCTATACAGTCGCAGGCGAGGTAAGTGAACTGACTGAAAGCCGCTGTTCCGCTTTCCTTGGATCAGGCCCCTTGCATGATGAAGGTAACAGGCAAATAACAGCGTAAGAAAAAACAAAATCGACGAGCGAAGCAACCGAGCAGGGGACTTGGGAGTCCTAAAACCTCCGCTTGGTTTTCCCCATTACTCCGGCTTGGTTCTTTATTTGCCCTTTTTCCCTAATAAGGAGTCTTGTGCCAGGCTTCCTTTCCGTCGTGAAAGCGCAGGCTTTGAAGGCGAAGACAATTGAAGAATATCAGAAACAGGAGGATGTACTCTGGTCTAAAAAACAGGAATGAAAGACGCCGATCAGATTGCCCGGGAACAGTCGTGTGTACCTGTAACGGGCGGGAAAACTACTGCTTTTTACTTTCACAAAAGAGGATTAATAGTTTTGCAGATAACTGTGGTAAAAATATCAGTTGGTCAAACAAAATATACTGGTTTCTGAGCTTGGACCCGCGATTTTGGTTTAAGTATTTGCTTTCGGGCTGGAAAAGTTATCGAGACTTTCGAGAAACTGTTCCAAGGCTTTTTGGTGAAAAAAAAAAAGCCAAAGAACGGTGAACCCGGCGTTTACAAAAGCAAAATCAGCGAGCGAAGCATGCCAAGCAAGAGTAGACTACGAGCCATCTCTTATTTTTCTTTGCAAGGTTACTCCACACGTATTAAACACAGCACGTGAGCGGTGAGCAGCGAAGCCGTGAGCCGCGATAACGAGGGTGTGAGGGTCTCGTCCCGTCCTAATCCCGTATTGTAACATCGTTCTTTGCAATAGCGCTGGC